CCTGGGACCTCTTTCGCTCCTCGTAGTCAATTTAATCTATCAACCTGTACTGTCCTAGACGTGCATTCTCACAGATACCTCTGAGCTGAAGAGGCACACGCCGGTCAAGAAAGTTTTCTCCAGAGCTACTTTCATGACTTTACCAAGAACGTCATTGCTAATATGAGATGAGGGAAGAGCAGTTGAAAAAGATAGAACACATTGCCACAAGAGATCTTAATGCAATTATCCAAGCGTGGGATCCACATGTAACTTCAAGCGGGCTTGTAGACGACTCCCAAATGTTCCAGTAGTATGGGTTCTTTATGTGGGATCGGCTGTCAATATGGTGTTATTAAAGAGATATGAAAAGATTCAGCAGCAAAAGGCAGGTTTTCAATATAATCTAATGTTAGAAATAGTAAACTGGTCAATTATGTACAACTAGCTACTAGCTGGTGTCGCTCTGCTAAATTTATACTAGCGTACCTCGTCTACTCATACAGTAGCTATGAATAGTCAGGCCAGTATAGCACTTACACTTACCTAGTAAAGTCGAGATTTTTCTGCCCAGAATTCCTGGTAGCATACAACATTCAGGATGTGATTTCGAATATTGGGATGGAAATGTGCGAGCAGGTATAGGTACTTGAGATGCTCGCGCAAGGGAAATCGTATCTCAACGTGATAGATCCGATATAACAGTGTGGAATATTTTGCAAAACAAGATATCAAGTCGGTCTCGCCAAGAGAAAAATCTTTGTCTTCATGACTCTAAGTCAAATACAACAACGATCCCGCGGTGTACAGTTTCAGAAGGGAAATCCACTTCAGAATCAAAGTTTTATCTACTACTTCGTACTTACACATTTGTCTACCCAGGTACAACTCTCTATACATAGAGTTATACACTTGACTCAAATGGGCAGAAGAGAGAATAGACTTATGTTCAGTAGGTGCACTTGTTATTAGTGGCGGAAGGAGCTACGTAGAAAGATAGGGACTTAGCGATGGCTAGGGAACATTCACTGGCAATTCTAAGGCATAGGGTTGAGTGCCGAGGAAGTCCCTAATATCATATCTAGGTGGTATTCTCGGTTGGGCTCGATTCGGTTAGAATTTTCATGAAAGTATATCCTAGGTACTCGGACCGGTAAAGGCGTATTGTGCTTGGGGAGATTGACGCACCTAAGTTGCTGACTAGAAAGCGGATGATTGGAAGGAAATTTGATTTAAATTTCACAATGAAGGAATTTATTGCCTTTGCGCAATTGTTCTTGGGCATCTTGGCATCAAATTCATGTGATTGGTCAAACTTTATAATGTACGGTAGCCATGACAATGAGGATAGATTATGACAGAAGTTGTTTTGTTATTGACAGAAGTTTTTTTGTTATTGAATGTGTATACACGTGTTCGCTGACGTGTTCGTTGAGTCCAAAGCACTTTTTTCTTGTGGCCACAATTCATCCCTGAATTATTGTGACCAAGCATTTTCTAAACTTTTGCGGAAACCAAAAATTGACTTCCCGTCCCTCGCTCTAGAAGGCCCTAAAAATCCTAGCATCTCCATTCTCCGATGTCGTAAAGATAACGTCGTTGAAAATCGAATCATTTACAGTATTGCTCAAAAAGCATCGCATAACTATATTAGCATGGGGATATTTCATGGTGTGCAGAGTAATGGACTGGTATTTTACCTTGGTTCAATTTTCCGGGCTGGTTTTCAATAGGTGGATCCAATGATGAACTCTGCATTAAGCAGATTCATAGTTTCGCGATTTAAACTTGTTATCTTTGCTTCCTCTGAATGAAAAACTTGGCCGGCTTGAAGTATAAAACCTGAAGTTAGGAACAATACCGATTTTTGGCTTAGCGCCAACCTTTTACATTAGTCTTAGACCCAAAATAGTCGAAATCGTCTGTACCAAAGTCTTCTAGAAGCGTGAGCCTAAACATACGTTACTAACGTAAAGATCACAGCGGAAAGGGAAAAGATTAAGACGAACCTAACCCCTTTAGAAGCAAAGTCCTCTCGATGAGTATATTCTTTCTTAATTAAAATATTATTACATTGTATATGTGCCACAGATGAAGACATATATATACGTCTCTATGCCCAGAACCTGAACTCCACGCTAATAACTTCAAGCACTTCGGCTTTTCCCAAAAAGAATCCTAGTAAGAAAACAAAAGTCGTGCATTAAACCTTTTCCTCAGTCGGCGCGGCAGCAGTTTGGGCTGCGATCTCAGCTTGCCGTATCTTGATGAGGTTGCCCCATCCCATTCCGAAACTTGCACAGAACGCTGCAGCGGCTGCACCTGCTCCAAGATACTGATTTAACGTTAGCTTTTCTTCTTTGCAAAGGTTGGTGGGAGTATGAACTTACAAAGGTAGCAGTGATTGCTTTATTATATGCTTGAATGACGCCTGGCCAACTTCCTTCTGCAACAACAGTTCTGAAGGCTGTAGTACCAACCTCCAACACCCTTGCGGCATCCACCTCCGGAGCGAAAAGTGCCAAAGCTGGTTTGAGCTGGTTGGAGAATATCGTCTGGGCCAAACTGATGAAGATGGAACCCCCAAGAATTTGGGCAAACATAAGGAATGCACTGGCGACAGGAAATTCTTTCTTGGGCACGGCAGCTTGTATAGCGGTCAGAGGCTGCTGCATAGTAAGACCACGCGAGAAACCCGAGATCAATTGGAAGATAACCCATGGAGCTGTACCAGAACCGGGGCTCAGGGTCGAGAGGAGGCCCGATGCAATGGATGTCAATGCGCATCCCAAGACTGCCCATGGGGTATAGAATCCGAAACGAGTAGCTGGAATCAATTAGTATTTGTGGCAATTCTTAATTTTAGGATACTTACTCAGAGCGCCTGCAATAAAGGAACCGACGACTTGGGACCCAACGGATGGCAAGTAGTAAACACCACCCATTGTTGGACTGGCCTGCTTGACAACCTGGAACCAGATTGGAAGATAGAAAGTGATGACGAGTAGCGAACCTTGAGACAACGTCATCGTAGTCGCTGCGAAGATAACAACCTTTTGCTTGAGGACCGGGAGAGGAATCATGGCATCCATCCCTCTAAACTTTTCCCAGAACAAGAAGATAGCGATCATAACGACTGCTCCACAAAACATGCCAATGATGGTAGGTGACTTCCAGTCATATTTGTGTCCACCCCATTCAAGTGGAAGAAGCAGCATAATGATAGCTGGTCCGAAGAGAGCGAAACCGGGAAGATCAAGACGGTTGAGTTGTTCTTTCCATGTCGCCTTCTTCTCGGAAACCTCAGCCGCGTTCGGGATGTTGATGAGTGCAAGAATAAGCATTGTAACTCCACCAAATGGAAGGTTAAGCCAGAAACACCATCTCCATGTTGCGTGCTCGGTGAATATACCTCCTAGAACTGGCCCGAGAACGAGACCCAAAGACGAGAATCCCATAACAATACCCATGTAGTCTAGTAGAGTTGTTAGCGCGCTAAGCTTGTGAATGTGGCATTATGCATGAAATCCTTACATGGTCTCTTGTCCACAGCAGCTGTGACGGAGAGAATAGCAAGGAATCCAATGACCAATCCTGATCCTCCAGCACCCGATATAGCTCTTCCTATGATCAACATGGAGGATGAGTTTGCAAGTGCACAAATCAAAGACCCAAACTCGAAGATTGCCAAACCAACCAAAAAGGTCCATTTGGAGTTGTAATACTGATAGAGTTTCCCCATAAGTGGTTGAAAGGCAGCACTAGATTGAAATATTATTAGTATACAAAGTAAAGAGTGTGTGCTAGTGGACAGGATAAAACATACATCGTCAACATATAAGCTGATCCGTACCAACCAATATCACTCGTAGACTGGAATTCGGCAGTAATTCTTGGGATGGCAGTTACCACAATTGTTTGATCCAACATCATCAGGAATACAACCAATCCTACTCCCAGAAGCACTAGATATAATTTCATTCCCGTCAGGTACACGATAGGTTGGTCTGTCTTTGCTGCAACAGGTGCTGCGGGAGTCCCAGAGACTGCCCTGAAAATAGCCTCCCCCGTCGACTGTATTTCCTCTGTCCGTATTGTTGCCGTGTCATTTTGAGTTGTACCCGTCATAGGAGGTTTTGAGGCCGATTTTGTTGATTTCTTCGATTTTGCTGATTTTGTTGATTTTGCAGAGGAATCAGATGAAGAGTTCTGGTTCTCCTTCACCTCCGCTTCAGTGGAGTCCTTCATGGCTTCTTTCATGTTGTTTGTTGTGGAAGATAGTACTTCCTCTCTTTACCAAATCGTCTCATCTTTCCAAAGCGGAAGAGCCCTGGGTTATTAGATTCTACCCCATGAATAAACGAGGTAATCGTACGGATCGGAGGACTACTTCGCGCATGTGCTAGTGTACATATCAATTTTAAGGCCTTCCCCATAAACATGGGTCGTATCCTCGCGTATCCCTGAAGCGAGTACCTGATTCGGTCTAGAGTGCCAAGGGATGTTATCTACAGCCAAAAAAAGGCCAATTCTATCAAGATTTCCTCGGATGTGTAAAAGGATATGCGAGCCCGGGCCCGGTCGTTCAAAAGCCAGTCCGAGCCTTATGGCCCCATCGCCCCCTTAGGCTTGTGTCTGGCCACCACTCAAGACACTCCTGGCCTCCCGGGTGCTTGGGACGGCACGGGGTCCCTCATTATTCAAGCAAAGTCACAATCTTGTTCCAATTGTTGACACGGTGACGAAGGTTCTCCCCTGTGGTTTACGAGCCCTGCGCCATTTTTCGCCGGGAAATGAGTGGCTAGAAGTATTTACATTGTAACTTGCACCCCCTAAGTGTCCATGACTTAGCTTTTGACAGATGTTGTTAGAAGTAGTCATCCAGTTTGTTGGGACAAATGTCACAAATTGCCTGTGAAGATAGCTGACCTCTTAGCGAGGGATTTCTAGCCGGATACTAGTCAAAGTCATTAAAAAGGGCACTCGTGGATGTTACACGATAGTTTACTTATTATTATACACCGCTGTCATAATTACGAGTACAAAACATTACCAAACAAATGGCACATACCTTCTGACAGGGGGCTCAAAATCTTTACACGGCCGACTGCGAGTACGAACGCCACGGCAAGTCACCGAGTACGAACAACCTGGAAGTTGCCACTATCCCCGTTGTGTCAATGAATGATCCATTTTTCTCCAAGACCGTTTAAATCGTCCAAGGCTTGTTGATTGCGTGTAGGAAACAAACGAAACAAAAAGATCTCATGGCAAAAATACATCTCCCATCATACTTCCCATCATGTCCTGCCAATAGGCATCGTCGATCCAGTCAAATTCCATAGAAAGCAGTCCGCCGTCGATTCCGGAAATCTCGTGTTCTGGCACAAGGTTCGCGCCCGAAACCACCCCCATTTTCGTCCCATAAATGCCCTTGGTCCTCTTCAGAGCTCGACCGCATCCTTCTGAAAAAGATAATTTACACGGTTCGGGGTGCAGTTGGTCAGCTGTAACACTTACTGCCTCGAACTGCTTAATCAAGTGATCAAAATAGTCGAATATCTTGACGCTTTGCCGAACTTGTGCTAGATCCCAACCTGGCTGTTCAACCACGGATAGTTTGAAAAGAGTCGAAAGTCCCAGTCCTATGAACGAAAGCTGGGGGCCGGATAATGCTGCGAATTTGCTAACTTTCTGTGCAATTGACAAATCAAGCAGCTTTTGAACTGCGAGAAGGCAAGTGCTTAACATTTCTAAGCGCTGGGCGTTGCCATTGCCGAATACAAACGAGGGTGGATTCGATTGGATGATTGGTTCGTAAAGGAATACTTCGACCGAGTAGTAAGTCGTGAGTAGAAATTCTGGTAAGCAAAGTATGTCAATAAGCCAGCTCGATCTTGCATTTGTTTCAAAATACGCACCATTAGAACGGAGTTCATCCGATAAACTTTGCCAATAGCTTACTAACTCTGCTCTCATACAACTTGGAATTATAGGACCCTCATTTTTCACTAGCAGACTTCGCTGGATTGATTCGCTCATACATTGCAATCTAGTCGCGGCAACCAAAATCAAATCCGAAGGAAACTCGCTCGCATCCTCCAAAATCTTACAACAATACTCGAGATAAGGAGTGTGGTGCAAATTCTCGATCTTGCGTACGAATAGCGACGTTCTAATGTAACTTATCAATTTCCATGCCACCATACGATGGGTGAAACGTACACTGATGTGGAGCAGAAGGCACAGAGTAGAGTTCGACGTTCTTCAGAAGTTCTCTTCGCTTCTGTAACACTATTTTTGGGCAAAAATCCCGAAGGATTCGGGAGCATATCCGAGGGATCGCCTTCTCTGACCGGCTTGTTGAGACCCAGATCAAATACCAGAGCATGCTGAAGTTGGAAGACGGCCGTTGACTGGGCCATCGGAGGAGATATTGGAGAGAAATACAAAGACCTAGATGTGCATTCATTTGTTAACCTCCGCAGTTTCATACATATTGCTGAGGACCAAACAAGCTTTAACATCATAACTCTGCCCAGAATAACTCGTTGTAGTAATAAGCCGCTGTAATAACGCCCATCAACAGCGAATATCTCTGTAATTCATTAAAGCTTAGCTGCGAAATGAATTGTAACATCGCTCCGCATATTACTACCACCACCCTTGAGAAACAAAGTAATAATATGGAACAAATCATGACGTACCAGGCGTTATGTATTAACATGCTTTGGAGCATATCCAAATTCCTTTCTCCTTTTAATATCATAGCCTCAGCAACATCCATACACAGGCTTTTTGACATCGAAATCTGACGCGCTCTTGGATGGAGTGAACCGACGAGTATCGCAGCCTTGTATACCCACGGCTTCTGTTCTTGAAGTTTATGAGAATTTAAGTGAAGTGGAAAAACCAAATATGGATAGTGGCTAGCGAATTTTTCTCTGAAATTTGTGAGAACACTATTAGCTTCGTCGCCGGGCTGTAGAAAGAGCGGGTCATAATTGTTTGAAAGAGGAGGCTGCTGAGCTGGACAACTATTTTGAGCAGTAACTGAGAAGCTACGATTTCGATGGGGTTGAGAAGGACGTTGAGTTGGAGGCTGAAGGAGAGTTGTTCCGGCAAGGATGTAGTTTCCGCTATTCATCTCTTGATTGAACCCCTCGAAGCTTCCTGTTTCCACTTGGGCTTTCTCGAAGGGAAGAGTAGCCCTATTAGAATCCCTTGAGCTAAGGTCTGATGGCGTAGCATTTGGATTTGTCGACTGAGATGATTGATCTGGCTTTAGCGCTTCGGAATGGGCCCCGAGAAGAGAAACCAGAATCTCTATTTTCTCCTCCAATTGGCTAAGCCTGTTCTTTGTTAGCAATATTGGCCTGGTTTGGCTTCAGTAAAAGGGGGGGCTGCTGGATTCTTTTCTAAGCGCTTCACAACTAATTTCTCAGTGTATATGAAAAGTTGTTATCTTGATACAAACCCCGTCGAATAACTTTCATTATTTTAAACTTTTAATACAATCAAATAATTGCTCGGGCGTTCCATAGACGATTAGAATGATCCACCCATAAAACTCGGTTGATTACTTGGATCAATCCGAATGACACGAAATTATACTCCGATTTCTCCTGCCAACTGGGCACATAACCTTGAATGCAATGACACCAAAAGCAATGGATGGATTTAGCTTATAACTTACGTGCTATTACTCGGTAATCTCTTTTTCCGTGTTCTACGAGGAAGCATGGCACATTGCTTCCTCAAACGGAAACATCTATTTCAGCTTTAGTAAAATCCACCAAAAGAAAATGACAAGCGGAATTGCCTTGCACATCGTTCATCCGCTCCATTCGCTTGTGGGACACATTTGGCCTTTGCTCGAGAACAATTTTCGCAGGCGCGGTTGGTTAAGGAAGGCCGTATGGAGGCTCTAGCTGTAGGACTGAGAGAATCGTTCCCTTCATCCGACATCATTCAATTAACAGGTGGCAAAACAGGAAGCAACAAAACTCCGTTTGATGTAGGATAAGCATGAGTGACAGCAAAACTTGTCACAAATGAGAGATAAATGTCCTGAGCATGTCAGAGTCGCAGCTTTCAGGAGCGGGAAAACGGGCGTCAAAACGACCGAAACTCCGCTCACCATGGAAACAAAAGCGGCAGTGCTTGCAAACACTCCGTATGTGTAGTTTTCATGTTTTAATTTGAGCAATTTAAGTAATTCTAGAATCATATGAAAGGGCTGAAACAGAGATTTTGATACTTTATGAAACTCAGGAGATATGCTGAAGGTGTAAAAGGTGTTACCGCTTCCATTTTCCTCGCTCAACACATTTTGATCACATGACCCAGGAATGAGTCTGACCTCGACCAGTGGTGGACCCGACATTTGGGAAACGCGTCATAAAGTAATCAATTCTTGAGATACGAATTATACTCGAGTTTTCACATCAAGTATCACAATTAGGCTTAATCTTGCTGTGGATCAAGACAAGATTTATATGCATCCACCAAGAAATATACATAAACCGCACACCTCGGCCTCCGATTCCGCCAGGGAACCCTCATTGCCAAGTCACAGATCTCCTCAACGATAGCTCGGTTGTGCTAGCCAATTTGGTTGGATATGATTGATCATCTGAACCTGGTGAGGCACAGCGACGATTGAAATTGGTTCACTTTCCCATGTCTCCTGGCTTCGCAACACGAACATATGCCTCTCGAATTGTCTTTCTATCTTTCTTCTACTTCAAAGTGTATGCAAAGGAGATGCACATGTTAAAAGCTGTTTGTACGTTTTCCTTTGGGTTTATGAAATATTTGTTATGTGATTAATCGGAGAGGATGTGTGATGTGTAGCTGAAAATGGCAGTGGAGCAAGTACTGCCTCTGAGCTTCACTGTTGGGGCCATCAATTAGTTCTGATTGCAAGCGAAATTTTTCGATACCAAAAGTCCCTGGCGGGTTTCCGTTTGCAAACTGGAAGTCGCGAATCGCCATGAATTCCCAGGAATTCATTGTAATCATATTCTCTAAGTCTTATTCTCTAAGTCTGTGTACCCAAAGAGCATGCTGTTTTCCCCAAAAGAAATCCTTCATCCCTTTCCCCGTTGCCCTCCCCTAATACAGAATTACTAGCACTCAAAACAAAAAGAAATAGATTCTGTACACACAATTCCCTCCTCGACTAGCAAGAAACACAAAAAGGCGATCGTCTCAGGAAACCTCTTCGATCATACGTTGACTCCGAGAAAAGGCACTTTTGATAGATTGGACGATGCTTGGTGTGGAGTTTGCGCATCTTCCTGATCGTTAGACGTATGATTTCGCTAAGATGGCGAGCCGAAAAAGGAGCAGGGCACGGAGAGTGACTGGCTTATTCTTTCTGTTGATGATTCACAGAGTCAGTCATGTCAAGCCCAATAGATTATATAAACCCAGCACTACTTACCTCGTCAACTTTGGCAAGCTTAGTGTTTATATCCACCACGAACCCTCCAACGGCGTTGATGGCGTTGAAAACGGCAAAAAGCTCATCGGTATGAATCAAGGGGCGCCAAATATGCCGAATATATCTCAACCAATGGAAAGCAGAACTGGGAAACTTGGCCATTTGCTCTATGATATCTTTTGGCAGCTCAAAGCTAAAGCTAAAGCTGAATGGACCAGTGGGCGCAGCGAGGTTCCAGAGGTTAGTAAAGATGTCCTCAAGCTGGCGGATGAAAACTTCGAGGTCATCGGCGTGATCCAGAAGACATTCCTTGCCAGCGGATACCATTGACTCTCTGATCACCTTGAGCCAATCATCCTTGTTGTTTTGAAGTTCGAGTGCAACGTCCTTGACTTTGTTGAAGGTCCAGATCTGAAGAACAAGGGTTTTGGTGGTGAAGGATGGGGACTTGGATGCTTCAGCGTATGAACTGCTAGTTTTTGGACGTATAGATGAGGACATTACGTTGTCGTCTAACTACGTTGTTGAGGTTGGTTTCGATGTTGTTGCCGGTGGTTTTACGAGGTGTGTTTTCGAAAATTAGAAAAGGCAAAGAAAGAGGCCAGTTTCTTATGCCTTTTTTGAGCACTGTTGGCGTGACGGGAGATAGGTGAATTTATCGTATGAGTTTACTAGACACGTAAAAGATTATACCTCTGTTGGATAGGGTTGGTGTCGAGTCAGGGTAACGCTATAACCGCTATTGTGATTGGACATGTTACATGCTTTTCGTGAAACTGTGTTGTGAATAGTTGGAAGAGTTTTTAGGGACTTGAGCAATAATCTACAAGGGAAAAGCAAGGCATCTATTCACTCTTTCTTCGTCAGACTACATAATCTCTCGGCACGGGTGACTACTCTTAAAACCCTCAGCGAATATACGGCGATAGTAAAACAAGTTTTAAGTGTGTTGTATATAAGTTGTTTTACGAGTTCTTAATTGTCTAGGAAAAAAGAGGAGAATATATTCAAGATAAGAAAATAACGCGAAAGTTAAGAGATACATTCTCTTTGTAATTATACATATTCACAGTTGACAAGTTCTAACCTATCTAGTCATTCTAATGAATGTAAAATATAAACTTGATTGGATACTGATTAAATCATGCTACGAAATATTGTACTTACAAGAATATGTGGAATAAATAACAGAAGCTGAGTAGATTCTCCGTTCTCCGTGATATTCAAGCTATAAAATAATAAGAACTCTAGCGCAAATCTGTTCATGCTACGGTATATCAACAGACCTTGACCCTCAAATCTCGCCAGATTTAATATGAAAAAGTATACCCTTTTCAGTTCGAAATTCTACAAGCTGCTAGCATATAATAGGTTGTCTGGCACAAGTTTAGTGTTGGAAAGCTTTGCAGTCACTTGCAAGCATTACTTTACAAAATCTTTTCGGAGATCTAATAAAGGGTTTGAATCTAGTACAGCTAATCCTAGTCAAAAGACTAACAGATCTGGATATTTCAATACTGCGTGACAGATCTCCTACTATGGTAGACAAGATAAGTATTCGAAGTTTAAGAAATAGATCGGGGTATAGAAGTGTATTGTATTAAGTCTGTCCCTATGGTGTGTGTATGTAGAAGCTAGCTCCTAGTTTGAGATCCTATCTGGTCATTTTGGGAATAGTGTATTTTTTTCTTAACCATATATTTATTTTCTATTTTCTAGCGTAAGGTGGTCGGGTCTAATGTATTCAATTTCTTCAAAAGTATTAACAAGACAAGTGCTATAATTATTCTCTAATTTTCAATTATTCGAATTAATAAGTCTGGAATTTTGAAATTCGAGGACAATAAAATAGTTCATACCATTATACTAATAAGCTATACTAATAAAAAAAGGAATGTCCATTGCTTTCCTTGTCTATCGAGCTCTGGTTAAATAATTCCTACGTAGAACATAAACTCTCCACGTCTTTCTCGTTATCAACTTCGTTCTCGTTATGGCTTTCTGAGAGAAGTGTCTGATCCGTCACTTGTCTATATTCTAGAGTGGGCCCAATTTAACATGACTGTGTTATAAAGTACGACATATCATGTGTGTATTGTTTGATCATGGAATAGCCCTTCTAATAAGGTTTTCAATATCGCAATGGGGGCTCTTTCATTGGATTACAAGTTTCTAGTATATAATATAAGACTTGAACCTGTTGGACAATTTCAGGAACAGTACACTAGCATTAGCTAGATTCAAAACTGACTTGACGTGGTCATTGCCAGCAATATTAACTTCAGGTGGAAGACATTTGAGAGTCAACTCCAAGCAAATACTCAGACCCTGATCACATACTCCGGACGACTTGCGAAACCCGATTCTTTTCCGCGAGCTCTTACGCCACCACTTAGCCCAACTAACTCGTCTTCGATAACCCAATTACCGCCACGAACGAGGGACAAGTGGTGTGTTAATAAGGTCTAGAGCCTCACTTCTTGAGCTATAATAATAGACTTTGTGTTCCCTGAAGGCATTTACTCCTGCGCTGTTTGTGTGACAGACGTGCTTCAGGTAGAACTCAGAACAATTAACACTCTATTCTTAGGACAAAAGACGAGGAAAGAAGGAGAGCTCGAGAGAGCTGGGAACTAAATACAGGTCGTGCGCGCTAGCGCCTCGCTAAGCGAGCATGTGACATCCAGCCCTCGTGACCATAACCGTCACAGTTTGCTTCACTTGCGATTCTTTGACGAATAATAGTACGCCTGTATCAGATGTGACTTCACCATTGGAAAGAGACAGTTTGATACTTCACTTTGATTATCAAAGATATTACAGTTCATGGTTGTTGGGAGACGCTGATTCCTTTCTTATATATTCTCCTAGCCTTTTAATACTCGAAAGTTTTCACATTATCCATTTACCAAGCGCCCATTAAACTGAATGGAGAAAAAGAATTTCGCCATTTGTGCTTTATATACCCGCTTCTCCCTGTCTAGTTCATTGATTGAATCATTCCTAGTGCGTAAGAGACCTGGTTATTACTCTATACTAAACGCCTAGTACAAGTGGCTTAGTTGTCTCAGTAGATTTTAGAAAGGTGAAATTTAATAATTATTCTACCCTATTTATATGATTACTTAGTTGTGTGAGGAATTTATGACAATATATTATAAACTAGGCGTGTACAGTATAACAACCATGTCTCTGACTAGGTTCAGTTCCCACAATTTACTTGAGAATCAATCTGAGGATTTATTAGAAAACCGTTCAGGCGAACACATCAAAGGAGAACGAACGAGCACATAAAGTCCTTTGATTTCACCAGGGTGCACAAGACCAGGGATTTCAGTGTTAGGCCATCGTCCAATAGAGCCTGAAAGATGAATAAACTCTGAGATCAAATCGGGTATACATGGTTTGAGGATAATATTAGAATCTGTCAGACGGGAGACTCTGTTGTTCAACAAACGTGACAGCGGATGAAGAGAAGCGTTGTAGCCTCAGAGAGGGCTGACGTTCTGAAAGAAGAACCTCCTTATATAGCTGGTAGCTCTAAGGGACCTAGCCGGGCATCAGCTGTAAAATTCCTTACTCATACACTGCAATTGAGCCTGCCCAGGAACTGGGATCATTTATATGCACGTGATGACGACACGTGAGTCAACTGCCATCACCTGCAGAAGGAATCACTGCACCTGGAGGACACCAACCGATCACTCCCCTCTAGGTTGAATTGATAGCACTATAAATATCCAGAAAGCTGTTTTGTTAGGGTTGAGGCACTCAGAGTCCTGTCTTGGAAGGAATGTCGCATAGACAAGACTGTTTAGCCAGGTGTTGTGCCTTGGGAAATAATCGGAAAAGCAGGAAGGCATAGGATTTATATTCTACTCAAGAGACGACTCAAGCAGAGGAACAGCTCTGGAAATCTTGATGGAGTACTCTTCTTGTCAAGAATAAAAGCTGATGTGTCGAATATTTGGCTCCAGCTTGCAGTCAAGTCGCTACTGTGTCGTGCAATGGTGCCAAGTATTGCCCCTCCAAGTGATAAAATCACAACCCTCAGGTTTTTGCCCTAACTAGGGATTGAATAGCACAAAAGCTTATTGTTCATTTCAGAATGAAATTTTTTCTGACATTTAACTTTGTCACTGTATAGTATTTGTTGGATGTAGGTCGATAGAGCCAAACTAGTACAGTACAGTACCTGATCATGAAGTTCCCCTCACCTAGCATTTCCCCACCTTAGTTGAGTTCTCAGGCGAACTTCGCCAAGAGTTCCTGCCGACATTTTCCACACACAACCTCAACCACACACCACGATCACCGACCTGCCATTCACAATTGTACGTTTACCTCGACCAAACCACCCGTTTGACCGCGTGCAGAACGCTCCATCTATTTGAAGTGCTGACAGATTCTGCTGCAGAAAAATCCCCATCTCTCTCCCTCAAATTTACCCACCTCCGGCTTCCCCACGGAAGTCAAAACAACCGCAATCATGGATATGGAAAAGTTGAGAAGAATGCAGCAGTCGGCGCGTATTGGTACGTTGAATCTCTGCAGATTTTCTGGTTTCAAGAAGCTTGAAACCTCCCCCAAAAAAAAGCTTCAAAGAGAGCTTCAAGCGCACCTGAATATCAGCAGCTAACATAATTTCTAGGGTAAGTGCGACCTTTTTTTTTCCGGGCAAAATTACCTTCCGCGACCACGGCGCAAGATTCAGAGTCGATCTAAAATTCAAACTTGATGCTGACGGGTTGGAAATAGTGGAAAGGGAACACCAAGAAGAAAGGTCAAGAAGGTGCACAAGAGCCAGGGAGTGGACGACAAGAAGCTACAAACCACCCTTAAGAAGCTCAACGTCCAGCCCATCCAAGCAATTGAGGAGGTCAACATGTTCAAGCAAGACGGAAATGTCATCCACTTCGCCGCTCCTAAGGGTAAGGCTCGCGAACTCTCCCACATACCCGAGTCTCCCAAGTCCGAGTTTCGCAAGTATTCGAGCTAATTCTATGCGCGCACAGTTCACGCCGCCGTCCCATCAAACACATTTGCTGTTTACGGTAATGGAGAAGACAAGGAGCTCACCGAACTCGTCCCTGGTATCCTCAACCAGCTCGGCCCCGACTCGCTCGCATCGCTCAGAAAGCTCGCGGAAAGCTACCAATCCATGCAAAAGGCTGAGAGTGAGAAGAAGGAAGGTGAAGACGATGACGACGATATCCCAGACTTGGTCGCAGGCGAGAGCTTCGAGGACAAGGTCGAATAAAGAAAGTGTGTTCCGCCAAATCAAAAAAGGAAATATGGATTTTTTATTGCGCATGGAACGGGAGCTTTGAGATCTTTTTTAAGGGCTTATGCTACATAACAGCGGAAATCTACTTGTCGGTTTTCAAAGCATGGAGAGAACATCAGGCCAGTTCTATGATAGTCTATGGTTGCTTGCTTGTACAAATGAATTCATGCGGCTTCTCATAGTCTTCCCCCAAATTTGGTTTACCAATGGCCTCCCCTCTTCTTTAGATGAGATATGCAAGAATTTTCAAGAAACTATTCAGATTAGGGAGACTAGATTTGAATCGCTGTGATAAATGATAGACCCTTTATGAAATTGTTCCCCTACATACGAGTAATCGCGCGCAGTTTTCCTTCGCGTATCCAGCTCCCATCAGAATCCGACATCCCTTCCCCCATCTGCTTCTCCAGCTCTCATTCAAAGGCCTTTGTTTTTTCATTTGTAGACTCAGCATACCGCCTGTTCAATTCAATTGTTACATTTCAGACAGAACTAGAGATCTCATTGGTAACTCAATGACATCCAAGAAAGAATCAAATTTCTATCAGTTGAAAAATCTATGTCCTCATAAGAATCTACATAGCCATGCACCCACCCAAAAACCAATCAATAAGTATCAAATAATCTACCTCCACTCATGTACTCCATACCTCACAGGCTGGTTCTTATTGCATTTGGTATTACTTACCCTTGTGCTTCCTGTCCGAGTTGTCCTCAATTCAAGGATCTAATCTGTCTATTAAGCACATAGTCAACTGTTGGATATCCCACTATCTCAAGACCAAAGTAAGATTATTGCTTTTTATTCAGTGACAAAATACTGTTTTTGAAAAGAAATGCTACTGAAATTGTTCTGCTTGTCCTTGGATTCGTACTGGAAACACTAGTACAATGTGTGGTATACCAGCCGTATCTCTGTCGTAAGTGATTATTGAGTTGTATTGCTCATCATGAATTGCGGTGGTCTGTTATCTCAGAAGTGCTGGGATAATTGGAGAAGAAGGTGAGGGGGTTTGAGATGTCAGTCACGAATCATGTGTCTTTTGGACTTGATCAGAGCTACATGGGCACTTGATCCTACAGTACCAAATGATTCAAGTCTGAGATCACGATCCCATACACTAGGCAAACTGGTTGGCGTCACTCCCAAGAAGGATGGATGGTCGTTCAAAATACAACTTTACTGGATATGTAAGTCCGGAGTTTAGCAGGAGATAGGTCAAATAAATCTTAGTGAGACACATCTGGATTCATAAACTTTCTACTTTTGATGAAAGACTCCCCATGATTACGGAGAAAGCAATATGCTCAATCCTTGGGGGATCCGTTCCAACCCTGGAAATCACATGTACATGTATTTCTTCCATTCCGAGAAATTGATTTTGTACCGCTTTGCATTGATCATCTATCGTTCAAGATCCCACAAGAAGCCCGTTTTGCTTCCAACCCATGCGTGAGCCCATCCAGCAATGAAGACAATGCCCAAAGTGCCAATCGCCTCGAAAAATCAAATAGAAAGAACCCGAATTTACTTTGTTCGTGCTTGGACCTTTTGTTGACTACCCTTAGCACCTTGCTTGCCCACAATTCGTCCAGCGGCTCCCTTTGATTGTTGAGCAGCAGTTTTTGCCTTCTCGGCCTTCTTTGCGCTCTGTGCTGCAGCTCTCTTGTCCTTTCCAGCCTTGATTGCCTCGGCGCGTGCGGCGGATCGGGCTTCTGGTCGCATGGATCGTCGCTCCTTGATGACATCGAGGGAGGCACCGACAATAGCTCTCTGGGACTTGACGGTTCGGCGGGAGCGTTTCTTGGCTACTTCCTGTTGGGAAAGAAGAGAGGTTCGTTAGCAATCTGTATTTCAATCCCATTCCTATATCATGCTTCCGTCCGTCTCTCCCCCGCCTCCATCCCGAAGTCTCTTCCAGCTCTTCTGCAACGTAATTTGGAAAATTTCGCATACCTCAGAGATACCCTTCTTGTGTTGTCTTCGGAAAAGAACAGTCCATGCGATGCGACGTGGGTTCTTGCGTTGGAGGAAAAGGGACTCGGTCTTTCCATTTTGGAAACGGAAGATCTTGCTGTCACCACGGACATAGAGCTTGCCCTATTCAAAAAATCCTCCGTCAGCACTTCATCTAGAAATTCTTCGATTCCAATCCTCCCTTCAATCGTCCTATGCCCCTCGCCACCATTGTCTGCATACGAGCGTCGCGGAAAGAGTTGGAAGTCGTGGGTATTCGTACCTTGCCAGGGTAGATCTTCTCTCCGGAGAAGGTATCCTCGTAAGTTCGCATTTTGGTGCTGGTATCGCGGACTGTTGGTTAGTGGTGATGTTTCGAGGTTGGAATCGTGGACGAGGTCGCGATCAAATTCAAAATTACATGCAATTGTGCGTGCTAAGCGATAACCTTATCGGTGCCTTGTTTTCGAGGCTCCGAGATCCGCTCCTGGCCTCCACATTTAGTTGATCTTCGCTTGCGCAGGCACGGTTACAAATAACCATATCTCGTGCGCACGATTCAGCTTCTTGGACCTTCGGACTGCGTTTCTATCAACCTTACGGTCAGTTTTGTAAAATTATAGAATAAAATTTTCCGTTGCAAACTTCACCCTTCATCAAATCACGTGATTGGCCTCTCTTTTGCCAAAATTGGGCGCTGCAGGTGGAAGCCAGAATTTTCCCTTAACACCAAGCTTCACTTTTTGGGATCGCTTTCAGATGCATACAATCTACCATGTCTTCCTCAATTATGACTTCCATAGCCTCAGATGATAATTCGGCGGCTCTTCCAAGCTTACAAGACCTCTCCGGAGCTTCATGGACACCACTCTTCAACCAAGACTGCTCCTTTCCTCCCGAGATCTTCAGAAGCGTTTTGCTGAATCTAATCAAGAACCCCAATATCAACACGAATCGTCTCTTCCGAGCTGATATATTTCTCGATGTTTCATACGATGCAAACACAACCGAGTATCAAACGGAGATTCCACCGAGGCTCACACACTTCACTAATTTCCAACTAAAGACTATTATAGTCCGGAAGATGATACCAAGAAATCCAGTTGTTGATAAGCCATTAGATCAAACCTGTCTGTTCCACGAATGTAATGATGAGCAGGGCAATATCAATTCTCTCGTCACATATCTTCCACATATTTCGTCTGCGGACGAGTCGCCATTTTATCATCCAGCTGTACATGGAATAGGATTCTTGCACCAGTTCAATACAAATTCGAAAGAGGGATCAAATTCAATTTTCTATTCTTTCTTCCCAGCGGAACCAAGATCACCAAAGTTGGAGAGAACTGCTCAACATTTACTAGCAGTAATTTACAAACATGGCACAGGCTGTGCAGCTGGCTATTCAAAGAGAGTTCAGCACGATGTCATTATTCCGCAAATCAGAGCACAGAACACATATTCGCGGCTGAAGATCAAATATGGAAGAAGTTTGTGTGAGAAATGGGTAGAAGCAACGGATCCAACCAAACATGTCTTCGAGGATCTTGCAATAGCTGCATTTCTCATTGAGCTTTGGGCAGACCTTTATACGGAGAGTTCTTTCCCTGGTTTTGTTGATATTGGATGCGGAAATGGTTTGCTGGTTCACATACTGGTTGAAGAAGGATACTCAGGATGGGGCTTCGATGCAAGAAGAAGAAAATCATGGTCATCATGGTCACAAAAAGCACAAGAAAATCTGAAAGAAATGGTTTTGATTCCGTCTATCCTAAGGAAAGCTCCGAACACAGATGGGATGAGTCAAGTTCTAAGATCTGATACCCATACAGAAGTTGGGATAGAAGTTGGAATACATGATGGCCGATTCCCTAAAGGAACATTCATAATTTCTAACCACGCTGACGAGTTGACCCCTTGGACTCCTATACTGGCAAATATGTCAGAGTCTCCATTCATGATGATTCCTTGTTGTAGTCATAGGCTTAATGGCTCTCGGTTTCGTGCTCCTCATCCTAAGGGTGCGCCGGCTTCAACTTCTCAATATGCTGCTTTGGTGGTGTGGATTTCCAAAATTTCTGAGGACTGTGGGTGGGTTGTTGAGAAGGAGATGCTGAGAATTCCGAGTACGAGAAATGCAGCGGTGATTGGAAGATCGAGAAAGATTGCCTTTGGGTATGTTGAGGTTGAGGATGTTGTTACGAATTATGGTGGTGCTGCTGGATGGGAAGAAAATTCGCTGAAGTTGTTGAAAGGGGCCACCAGAGGACATTGATGATTGAAGTTCGGTGAGATGGTGGAGTCTTTTCTCATCTCTTCATAACATGTCAGCTAGGTCTGAATGATGGGAAATAGATCTTACTCACTTCTTAGTCGTGATGGTGGTTCCTTTTTCTTAGATTGTTTTGCAATAGTCTATTCCCTCTCACATTTGTGTAACAGGTGTGGGAAAACCCAGTGGGCCAAAACCACACCCAGAGAGACTCCTTGCCTGATACTGGTCGCTTTTCATGTGTCGTGTCGATTCGCTGGTTAACTGTGGAAGAAGTCTTCCCATGTCTATACCCAAAGTCAGTAATCTGATCACGGTGGAACGAGAGAGCAATAAACATACAGATTCGTTGAGCTTCAAAAATACCCCCCTCAATTGCTCATATGCTGGATAATGTTGTCTCTATTCCGTCTCGTCGGCACCAGCTGGATCCTCTTTATCTGGTTCCCAAAAGGCGGCAAGCCAATCGGGGCGGTCAGTACCCAATCCATATAAATCCTGCAGGACCATATACATTTCCGACTCGATCTTGATTTCAATGATCACGCAGTTGCTCTTTTTGATGTACTTCTGGGCCCGTTTGTCGTACCAGTTTCTGTCGGCATGTTCCTGACTCGCCTCCTCCCGGGAAAGATAACCGGCTTCGAACTTCTGGTCCAAGGCTTGGAGCTCTTTCATTAATCTCATGAGATGTTGTTTCTTCTCTATGAGGAGCCAGGGACGTTCGATTGGTTGCTCAATCTTTTCTCTGGTGCGGGCTTTGCGGGCTGTGTGTGGTTCTTCATCGTCGTCGCTGAAATCCACGGGTGAGGTTTTGCGTTTTCTGGTCTGCTCGTAATCCTGTGACGAGTCACCACTTGTGGTAGAAGAGTTTTCAAGGTCGTCAGCTGTGTTTGGATGAAGTGGGCAGTTGGGCGTGCCTGTGCAGTGTGTGTCGTCTGGCAGTTGGTATGTTGATTCGAAGTTGAATTGGAAGCTGGATAAATCCACTGAGTGTTCTGGCTCAACCTCTGGCTCAACTGCTGGCTCAACCGCTGGCTTGCGTTCGTTTTTATCATCTCCCTCATGGAAGAAAGTTTCCAATCTTTGAGCCTCCCCTGGCCCATTTGTGGCCAATCTGTTGTCTATAAAGCTGCCTGAATGACGTTAGTTGGTACATAGTAGAAAAGGGAGAGGGATAGAGCCTACCGATGTCGTCGTCTACAAAGTGAGACCAATCTGGGTCATTGCTGTCAAAGTCTGGTGGAATGGCTCCGGTGGCGTCATTTGAAGTAGATTCCTCAACTCCACCCTCCAAGAAACTTTGAAGTCTTTGAGCCTCTCCTGGTCCATTGTTGTTAATTCGCTCGTTGGTAATGTGGTCTAAATGGTCTTAGTTAGGCAAAGAGTAAAAGGGGAATTCGAGCTCACCGATGTTGCCATCCATGAAGAGGGACCATGCTAGTCCAGCGTTGAGGAAGTTTGGGTGGACTGAGATATTGGATAAGTTGTTCGTTGTGGTCATTGTGGTGTCAACTCCGTCTTCAAGGAAGTTTTGAAGTCTCTCGGCCTCTTCTGGTCCGTCCGAGTACCATATGCTGTTTAAGTGGCGGCCTAGCCAATGTTAGTTGGGTAAAGAATGAAAGGGGATTAGAACTTACCAATGCCGTCTTCCATCATGGCAGACCATGCTAGGCCCATGTTATTGCTGAACCAGATTAGAGCTCCGGTATCAATGTCATCATCTGTTTTGGTATCTAAAATGGTCAGCGGATTGCTCGAAAAGAAGCAAATGAGGCAGTGGGTGACTTACTTTCTTCGTCATAGCTTGTAACATGGACTTCGTTCTCGGGCTCAGGAGTTGTGAGCTCGCTGAGATCAACGCTAACTTCATCGCTCATATCGAGGTCATTAAGTGTTGTGAACTCCTGGATCCAGGACTCTTCCTTTTGATAAGACATCGTAGGAATTGATGGAAAAAAGGACTGGCTAGTCGAAAGAATGCTAGTGTTTGATGAGTGGGAGTTCGAGGATGCTGGTTGTTTGCTGGTGAGAGTGATTCAAAGTGACGAGTTGAGAGTAGGTCAAAAAGTGCTGTGTTTGGCTGAAAACTGTGGGGAGAGGAACTCAGAACTGCAGGAAAAATACAAAACATATATAGAAAGATTCCGTGATTGCGCTACCTCTAGTTGATGAACGTTCTTGCCTCTCTCTTTTGCCGTGGACTCAATCGTTGACGTAGTTTTGTTGTGATAAATGTCTCCGCATGGGCTCGGCTGTTGCTATTTGCGCGTTGGTCAAGTTGGTCAAGTTGTGCTAAATGATGGTTGATGAACGGCTCGATCGGAAGGCCTACTAGTGTTTTAGCGGCCGTTTCGAGTTTTAATCTCTGGATAGCTGGTATATCATTCTTTCTGGTAGTGGCCAGTTTTCCGCCTTTCTTTGGTATCACAATGTCACTTTGAGGAAGCGAGTAGTGAATTTCACGACGATGATATCGACACAGGGATTTGCGTAGTGACTTGAAGGAAGAAATTTGGAGGGAAATTGGTAGAGTTCATAGCAGATCAAGAGAGGCTCAAGTGACGTTTTTACAACCGCTCGCTTATCACTTCACGAAGTAGAGTGGAGAGTGAGTGCATGGCTAGCAGCCGTTCCATGTAGGGACCGTTACCTATAGCGTCTTTCCCTACGTTATTAGCGACTGTTGACCAAACCGAGGCTAACAAAAGGTAATATTTTGAAGTGTACATTGTGTTTCATCACTTCGAAAGCGAGGGCCGCAAGCGAGGATGTCTTTGATGGAGCTACGAGACCCAAGGATATTATCATAACTTCAACCATGGAAAATGGATCAAAACTAAACGAGCACGATGAAAACTCGAGTAATAAGGACACTTTTGAAATGTTGTTTTTGTCAACAGCGCCGTAATTGTTGACCAATATATTGATGGTGCCCGTTTCCGTCATGGTAGGCCAACGGCTTCTCAGCGGCCTTCCAACTAAGAATTAGACCAGAGATGGTACGCAGAAGTTCTTACCAGTTTCGATTTTTGTTGCGCACCCTACTAGAAATTACAGATCATAATTTCATGCTCGTCTTGTAAACTTTTTCGATATTTCTAAACTTTCAATGATGCGGAAATTGATAAAAATTTGTTGGCTTAGGATTAGGTTCGGTATCATGACTTTGCTTCCTCCATCTAGCGGCCGTTTTGCGTTATGGTACCTAGTTCAACGTTTTTGATAGCGCCCCAACTACAGAACTCGTGGATAATATGAGTTACTTTACAGATTTCTCATCACGTTCAATCTCCAATCTAAATCACTGTAAAAACACGGCAGACTTCAGCACTGAATTCCCACTGATTTTTGAACTCACATTCAACCATACCAATTCAAACGGTAGAAATTCGCCGTATATCAACAGAGTCAATACGAGCTTCGCCAAGTCAACAGAAAAATTCTACGACGCTAAATTCCAGTGAGGTACCAGAAGTTTCCCCGGACGGCTCGCTAAATTGGTGGATTACGCGAAGTAAACACTCACTCCCACCCCTGTAACTTCACCACAATGTGCCTCGCAAAACCAAAGAAAAGTCCCCTGCTGTAGCTAAGAGGCCATAAAAACTATCCAAATCAGAAATAAATCAGGTTGTAGGAGCACGCAAATGCGGTACTAGTTGCGGTGACATAATTAAGGCTCAAACAAAGAAAAGTACTGTTTAGGACACTTGTACCACCCACTGTACTTCCACAGATCAAAAATACGTGGCCTAAAAAGGCTGTCCCAATACTTGTAGCAATGTTGTCTAACGAAATGCGGCACGATATATGCGAGAACATTTAATGGCAATCTATCAGGACGTACGGGCAGAGATACACCCTTCTTTGAGCAGACCTACACTACGTCATCTTTTGAAATCCTATCGCATTGAGAATTAGAGATATAAGAGGCGCCCATATCTCGTTTTACGCCATGACAGTGCTAAACTGTTGGTGACGGCCGTTTTCACCGGCCGCTAAGTAGTTGGCGCCGCTGCTACACAATGAAGCTAGAGCAACCAAGTCAATTTTACATCGGAAGCATGTCACTCTTCCTCCTACACATTCCAATTCTCATCTAAAACATACACAGAACCCTACGCTTTGTATCCACAAAATCAAGACTTCTTGAATAACCCCAAAATTTGAGCGAAGAATCTTGGTTGCAATTGATAGTGATGAATTTGGTAGCTTTTTATTAGCCTGAGGTGCAGTATCCGAGGGACATCTATGTAAGACTTACGGTTACTCGCGGTCAGCTATAGTAGGAAAACCCCATTCACAATGCGGTGTCTTACGTATGGATGACGTATTCTTTTTTGGCTTCATTGGTGGACAAAGATTATGGCTCAGAAGGGAGGTCAAAGTAAATCACGATCTCGAAATACAACTTGTTTCCACCGTAGGTTTGACATTAGTAGTTTCCTCTTGTTTCCTCAGGAATGAGGAAACTAACATGTTTGCTAACTTGCTAGGTCAGAAGTAGGAACAACACATTCATCATCAAGAGAAGTATTAGCTAACGTAAAACACAAGGTAAATTCTATGAATGAATCCCACTGGGGTATTTGAAGTCACGAAATCTAGCATTGAAACTTTCTAGATTGATTGGGTGCAGGTTACCTTTCGTCATGCTAATTCTTGTACGTGAGCGAACTTCAGGATAATGACCAAGGAAGGGGCAGGATAAAAGTGTCTTGCATGCAGTAATTAGCTATAGTAGAAGCTTCCCATGGATAGCCCAATAAAGGAGATGGGATTCTACGTTATAACAGGATATCTATTAATAACGAGATAGACAAAACATCTTAGATAGAATTTAGATATTAGAAGCTAAGCTGTCCTGCACAAGCAGGATAAGTTAAGAGTAGAAGGTTGCACTTATCGTGTCTGCATATCCAGAAAGCGCGATTGTAAACTTGAATTTTGATCTTTCAATTCAACTACTTTACCAGCAGGAGTTGTAAGATTAAGTTCGCGACTGCAGTTTGGAGCCAATTTACTTTCTGAAAGGTATTCAGTTACCTAAGGCCTTTTGGATATCAACACAACTAGTAAGCTTTTACAGAATAATTAGAGTCCTATGGCGAGGTTTTGCTGCTCTTGGTGGGTCGCAAACTTCTGCAGCCCTGGTGCCGCTGGTAATGTAATGAAACACCACAGAAGAGCTGGATGGGAGTTCAGCACCTACTCTGCCATTATCCCATTCTAATTTATCACGCGAAAGAAGTGGTAGGTATCCATGAGTTGGTTATGTCCTATCGTCATTCTCATGTCTGTAAACGAATCCATCAGTCATCACAACTAAAGATTCTTCTTCTCTCCTCTCAGTGGCTTTCTGCCACATCTAGTAAAACGCCATCCCAATACACAAATAATCAAAAAGGAAGCCAGTGGTAATAGAACCTCATATCCACCATTGAAACTCTCAAATAGTCAAGGCTCCTTTTGCCCAGCAGGAGGTATTCTGGAATTAAGGTATGTTTCCAAATCATCAATCTCCTGTGGATCAGCTGAATGCTGTAAACCTTTATACCACTTCAAATCCACATTCCAGCCCTCCTCATTCAATAGCTCAGCTGTCTTCTTACTCCAAGCCGGAAGGACGAGAGGATCGCTATCTCCGTGACCCATGAAGATTGGTGTATCTTTATTTGGGTTATCAGCTGGGACGAAGTTCTTGAGTTTCTCGTGAAGAAGAAGGTAAGAGCTTAGTCCGAAGATTCCACCAAGTTTTTGGCTAGCTGTTATACCGGCGAAAATGGACATTGCACCGCCTTGGCTGAAGCCTCCAATTACGATGCGGTTCGAGGGAATTCCGGCATCGGTCTCCGCTTTGATCAGGCTGTGGAAGTATTCGCGAGAGCGGAGGATTCCAGGTTCGTCTTGTTGCGATTGGATGTCTTTGAATTGTATCTATGGTTGATTTAGTTTGGTGTGTGGATTGGCGGAACCGCAGAGCGTCAACGCGACTCACTGCGTTGGGGCGTCTTACAATGTCGTACCAGCCTGGCATTTGCATACCAAAGTTGACCGTGATTGGGATTGTAGGGGCATTTGGAAAGACGAATTTGACTTCTTGAAACTTCTGACGGCGGCGCCAGTTTTCTGCGAGAGAAACCCAGCCTTGGAGGGGGTCAGCGGGGTGCTCTTGATGGAGGGGTAAAGTGAGGAGGCAATGATTGCAAGCAGAGCTTCGTTATAGCTGGGGCTACCATTGCCAGTGTGCCATATTCCATAGAATGTAGGATAGGGCTGGCTCTCTTACCTGCGCCACTATCTCCCAAACCATGAGCCACTATAACTGTGGCCGTATGCTTCGTGACCGGGGGGATGGTAATGGCGGAGGGAGCCATCTCGGCAGGATGCAAATGAAAGTTTGAAATTGGGAGTGGAAATGGGGTAGAGAATAATCGTAGGAATGGGGCAGGGTCAGGATCAGGAGCAGTAGGTTCTAGGTGATCTGAGCAAACAATTGACAGAGCTGGTGGTTTGTGTAGTCTTGCCAGATCATAGGTGTGTAAGGCTCTCAAGAAGACTCGGCCGAGGTTGGGAATAGCATCGCATCCCACCATCCCCCGGGCCCCCTGCAAATCGGAATCGGGGGTCTTCCCAAGCGAGAAAAATGTTAACCTTATCAGGCTGATAAGAAACCTACCAGTCTACCTATACCCACCAGTCTACCTATACCCACCAGTCTACCTATACCCACCAGTCTACCCACCAGATACTGGCATCACAAGACAAGTCTACCCACCCCCATCCTCACGCAGAACAACCACACCACACAAGGCCACCAAAGCAGATTCCTCTCATGACTACTCCGTAGGTGAGATGCGAAACTGACACCCTTTGGCATCACCATCACCCATTCCTGTAGCTTTCAACAACTACAATCTATAGCTACAGCATGTCTGCAGCCCATGTCGCTGCTGCAGCTTTCCCAGCTAGCAACAACAACAAACCCGCCATGGCAAGCATATCGGAATCTCGACCGCCCTCACCCAGTGCTCTGCCTCCAATCCCCAGTTCACCAACTTATTCCTACGCTTCAACAAGCCGACCTATACCCTCTACCTTCAATCTTCCACCTCCCCCACCTCCCCAGTCTCCCCATGCAGTTCTCACAAAGAACGACCTCGAAGCGTCGCAGACCGCCTACTCCGAAATTCTCTCCTCAGCAAAAGCCTATAGACTAGCACTTGCTGTCCTCTCTTCCTCCGCCTCCACCTTCGGTTCCGCTCTCGAAGCATGTGCACGTCTGAAGGAGGCACGCTCGCCTTCCATTCAGAGCTCGGGCAGCATGTCGAATAGCTTTACCGTCCATGGAAACCCAGGCGGATCCAACTGTACCGCGGATACACTCCTAGCAGCTAGCGGCGTACATCATCTGATAGCAAACCACCAGCAGATCCTCAGTGAGACGGTATATAGAAATTTCGAGGTACCTTTGCTGAGTGAGTTGGATCAATGGCGTCGGCGGATGGAGGAGGAGGAAGAGCGGTATCAGAAGGAGGCAAAGATTATGAGTCGGGATATCAGGAAAATGGAGAAGGAGGGGCTACGATTGCATGGGAAACGCAAACGAGATGTGGGGGCTTTCCGGGAACATCTTGTGAAACTTACACAAAAACTAGATGGGTTGACGTCTTTGCATGGCGGTCATGCACGTGGATTGCTGCGGGAAGGCCAGGAAATGAGTCTGGGAATTTTGGAATGTTCTGCGGGGTTGGTCCGCGCGGAAGTCGATATTTTCGAGGCGTTGGCTAGGAAGGGTTGGACAGGTGGGGGCTTGGATGAGTTGCTTGAGCGGGGACGGGATCTTTTTGCGAATGAGGTAGATGGGAATGAGCACGCAAACTCACAATCGAAAATTTTCAGTATTCTGCCGAACAAGAGTATCCTCCCGGATCCAAATCAAGACTCACATACTTCTAGACCACATCTCAGAGCAAACGATCACGCAAGATCCGATAGTCTTCTGGTGGACGGACAGGGATATCAAAGTCTAGCTGGTGCAGTATCCGCCAATGATAGGAAAGACTCAGATATGCGAAGTATATTTTCGGAAGGAGGCACGAATTGGTCTCGGACTGATTCAACGGGAATCTTGAACAGATCCAGAGGCGTGAGGCCCTTTTCTCCTCCGCCTAGGGATCGAGAACCTGTCAAGGATTGCGAAAATCCTTTGGATTTACCAAAACCTCTGGATTTGGGACTTGCTACCCCTGCAGATATGAAGGACAGGATTGAAGAGGAAGATGAGCACGAGAACGTCACGTCTTCTGGTACGCTAGAAGCAGAGGCAGTCAAGGATGAAGATGGGGAAATTGTAAATCCCGAAGGAAGCAAAGGGGCGACGGCGAGAATGAGTGTAAGTGATGATTCTGCAGCTGTGAGTTCTCAGGATAAGTGGGGTTCAACGAATGAGACTGGTGCTGGTGCGGCGTCTGATTAAATGGAGCTTTGTACTTAGGTAGGTTAGATTGATAAAAGGTAGATAGGTGGTAGGTTGGAGATAGGTTGGCGTTATGGATGGTTTGTTTGTATACCCCATAGTTTAATGAGTCTTTAGCTCATGATTAGTATAAAGTAGCTCATTTGGGACTGCTTCTAATCTACCCTTTTTGAGTGAGTTTTGTGATAAGTCGAAGGTATGCGAAGGGCTTAGGGTTGATAAACACTTGTAACATCCTATCTTCCCAAACATGTAATTCTCTCTTGTAGGAGAATAGTACAATAAGACATACCATACCAATCATTAAATAAAAAAGCCAAGTCACGGAAATCTCGCTTCGCTTCTCCGGGAAGAACAAACGACGAGAACAAAATTACCCAAGATCTCCAGAATGAACCTTCGAATTATCAGAGATACATGTAAAGGACCTTCGATCTACCTAGATACAAAGAAGCCCTTTCATCCTGCAACTTGGTATCATCAGGATTAAGTTGGGTGGCTTTCCCTACGAAATTGGGTTTATCTCACAAACCTGGCCGCTGTCACGGTATCCGGAATCCAGTACTGCTTATTGATACGCTGAGAGGTAGATAAATTCTTCTGTCTGAGAAACGTGTGAAGTTTGGTTTGTTAATCAGGTAGAGGGGGTGGTGATAGGAGGTAAAGAGATGGCGCTATGTATGACAAAACGCTTCTCAATCTTTGCTTCAGAAAGCCATACGTTCGCGAATCGGTACTCTCAAACAAAATCACTCCCATCAACTAAGAAAAGTTTGAGTAGGTACCAAAACAACCTGATAGATACAAGAACTGTTGTAGAATAGAAAGGAGAGAACCCTCCAGTTTGTAAAGTAAGTTACTGTGAGGTAAGACTGTAGGTGGGCATTCCTCCGTACTGTATAGGGACTAAGCGAGAGAGTATTGTGTTTTATGTATTCGAGTAAGCGAAAGAAAAAGAGGTGTTCATTTCTCAACTCCTCTGCTAAGGAGATTTTTGTAGAAACAAAACGGGTTCAAGTACTGTATTCCTCATTCAAGAAGCGGTCTACTTGGCGGCTTCAATTTTGAGCATAATGTTTGCAAAATTAAGTAAAGACACAATAGTCAGAAACATTTCGAATTCCCATTGTTTCTTCTCTTCTATCTCAAAGCAGTAAGTAGACTGTACAAGTCTACCATAGGTATACGCAAATTATACATTTTCGATGCTCAACCTGCTTAGCTGAATTCCCTCCCAAAGACACATCAAACGCCATGCTGAAATCAAGACAAGACCTTGTATTCAAGGTATGCCATCGTCGCGGTCTCCATATCCTCATCCCCGAATTTTACCACTCTTTCTCCAAACCGTGGCTACGATTTCCATCATCATTCCTCCTTCTCTTTGGTGGAAACCTCAAATATACCAAAACACAAGCGATCCAACCAGTAAATCAGAAGCCAGTACATAGAAGCTCTCGCATAATCAAACTCTCCGTTTTCCGTTCTTGGAACAGTAGAGCCTATCATGTCCCCTGTGAACCAGCTGAGGAAAGGTATTTGAGCCATCACTCTTCTGCCGTAAGATTTTTGTGGTAATAGCGCTTGTTCAGCGGGAAGAAGTTGAATCCTCTTTGCTGTGCGGATGCCGCGGCAGTAGACCTCAGGCGTAGCATTCTGTGTGCTTGCTTGTTGTACGGGTGGATCGGGCATCACAGTTCCGGAAGATGTGCTTGTACCTGCATGGGAAATTGTAGCCGATTCGAGTGTTTGGGATGAGGTGTTGGATCCTGAAGGTGAGATGGTGTGGATGCCCATACCCCGCCCAATTTGGCTCATTGCTGGAGTTGTGTAAGATCGAGAGAGTGATGACGATTGTCGGGTTGCACCAAAAATACCCTTGCCAGAAGAGGCGCCGAAAGTATTCCCTCGTCCTCCTAAAGGTACAGGTTCATCAGCGGTAGGTGGAACTCCACGATACAGTTCAGCGAATACGAGATGCCCTTGTATCGTTTGAGGTGAGGCATCAACAGCTGCCTCAGCGCCTTCTGCAGATTCAAAAGTTATTTTGATCCAGTGCTCCCCGCCCGCGAATCTCATCGCCTTTGCCTTTTCTTCTGCGGTCATAGGTTGTGTTCGAAGGGAAGCGGGATCTCGTAGGTCGGATTTGTAGCGTCTTTGTTCTAGTGGAGGATCTCGAGGATAATCTTCGCATATTCGACCACCAATGCGCTCGTATTCTCTGAGTGCTGCATATTGATGGCTAGCTCTAAAGCCTCGTAGAATAACCTCGGTGGGCTCTTTATGGACGTATCGCAAGGGAGCGGTAGAATTGGTGTCATTTGTTGCTAGGGCCGTCAAACCTAACAGGTTTGGCTGAGAGACTGATGCTGATAGAGACGTAGGGCGTTGTATTTCGGGAGCAGTTGCGACTCGACTGGTCATGAAATTGGAAAAGATCGCATTTGCGGCCTCGAGCGTCGGATCCTCCCTTCTCGCAGCTGGTGTGCCTGTCCTCGAGCGCGAACGCCTAGTAGACTTTCCGAATGAACCTGATTCAGTGAAGGTGTTTTTTCGTGATCGCGAGATTAATGGATTGCTCTCGTTGCTGTCTTCGTCAGAAAAACATAAATCCATCATGATGGGCGCGCACATGTGGGTAGCTTACCCAGGAAACAGCATAGCATACGGTCTTTGTATGCCGTCTTCTCCCACATACAGTTCTTCGTCTGGAACATTGTGTAATATGAGAGGCGGCATTTTGGCGGGGCTGTGTGTAGCAAGGAATGCGGAATGCTAGGGATGGTTCTGGATGTTTTGTTGGTGAGGGTTGGTAATGTTCACTGACTTCGCCTATTGACAAATTTCCATGCGCGATCTCTGGAGCAACCCGAGCGTCGGCTTGCGAGTTTGGGCATTTTTATATGAGCCTTATATTTATGCCCCACATACAAGGCAACAATTTGAAACCGCTCAGCACAGGCATTGAACAGGGGTCCGCCTATCAACGTCATATCTGAAAAGCTTCATTGAAGCTCCAGCTCTCCAGCTGCCCGCCTACCTACAAAACTAATTCTTCCAATTGAAGCCCATCCACCACTATCATGTTTCGATTTGTAAGTCCAGAGATCCCCTACTATTCGATTGTCACCACGAATTTGCTTTTCAAACGCTAATTACTTCTGCAGAAAACCCTAGATGTCATCACCCTCTTCCACAAGGCAGGCATGCCAGCCTCCACCAGAGTGCATACACTCTTAAAGACAGCTTCCGCAACTGCTGCTGCCACCGCTACCGAGGATCAAGCCAGTGATCATAGCCACCAATCCAACACGCAACGTCAGGAATTCACGTTAGATGTGACAGAGGAGCCACCAACGGAAGATCAACTCAAGAGCATTCTGGAATACGTTGGACCGTCCGAGATTTCAAAGTTGGTCAAGGGCGCAAATACTGAACTTGAAGCAATCAAGAAGCTCAAGGAGAGTGGCGCAAACTTCCAAAGACCAGTGGTAAGATTTCCTCTCGTTCCATGATACACATTTATAGCTAAATTGATATAGACTGTGGATTGGGAGAATGGCAAGGCGGTTATTGGGGACTCGGAGTCGCATATTTTGAAGATGGTTCGGGCTTTGCCACAGAAATAGGTTTTCCCTCTGTAAATTTGTATCCAAAAGCATCAAGTGAGGCCTAGTTGGGAGTTCTGACTGTAATACCAATGCGATGAATCCACTCATTCCACACTGTTAAACACCTTGTTATTTCAGGTGCTATTTTATTGATAGCTAGACGGTCCCTCCAAGTTGATTCTACAAACTCAAGTAGCTTTTAACATATGATAACAGACTATTTAGGATTTCCTTGCGGAAGGCTATGAGTAGTCAATCGGACTGTGGTTGTATTGAGTGTATGGTTTCTACAGTACCTAGACAGACTTCAGGCATACCTTAATGACATATCACAGTTTATAATAACCAGATGCTGTATATTTCAAAGCTAAAGTACATCCTTCATGCTGTAGCAGACGCATATGCTATGACAACATACTGATTGCATCCATCATATGCATTATGAGTATCAACATCAGCGATTCTCCTTAAGCAAAGAACACACACAGCTACTGAGAGTTCCAAGAGGAGTGTTACCTAAAACTCCACACATAAAAACTTTTGCGTGGGATGTGCAATGGTAAGCGAAGCATCAAAAAACAAAGGGGAGCGAATATTATGCTGCAGATGCTCCTAGGAGTCAGATTCAATCTTCAAGAGTAAAAAGGGTGTTCTGATGTCGGATATTACTTTGTAAATTCACTATCCGTCAGTATGATTTCCAGCCACATGTTCTGCTGGCCTTGGTCGGTGGCCGGCACATCTATTCAAATATTTGGAACTCACCTTCAACCCAGGCAGGTCAACACCACCTCATCCACCTCCACCCCCTCTCCCTCCTGCCTTCCTTTTCAATTTCGCAACCTCATTAACACCACCCCCGCACCAGATCCAGTTGATCTGCCCCTTCTTCAAGACACTCGAATCTTTGCGCGTGCCAAAGACACCCTGTCGCGTTGTGGTCTCCGATATTCGATCTTCGATTGTCGGTTTTGGATGGTCTATATTCTTGTTACTTCGCCCCATGTTCACCTTTGAGTTTTGATGTCTCGCAAGTTTTCTCAGCCATTGTCTTTCTCACGACGTCTCCTGACAACCTCAGAGTAAGCTAGATACTCAGTTCTTCTCTCTGTCGCTCTTGTTGAAGACCTCCACTGACAAGTTGCCTCTCTCTGCAGCGCCATGAATACATTCATTTACCCCGCACCTCCTCCATCAACGTCGCTCGTCATGGCACATCCTCCTGTTGAGTACAGCAATTCTCAGGCTGTTGTTCGTGCTCCAGTTGCCCGTCAAAAGCCCAATGAGGTACTCGACCTGTCTATGCCAGACACTTTCTACACCACAGAGATTCCAGAGGATTCACCAGCCTTCTTTTCCACCAACATGGGAAAGGATGCCAAGAGAGCCCTCCTCAATCCTCGTCCTGCACCATTGACACGATCTAGATTCCATGAAGATGTTGCCAATACTGCAAAACAACTTCGAGATCGCTTTCCAAAGATCGTGCGGGACATTACCCAGATCAAAGCCTGGCCTGATCTGTATAAGTTCTGGGATGGCTACGATCTCTGGGTTCAAGGTGCCGCATTCTGCTACTGGGTTATCGAACAGATCGTGAAGAAGAATGATATACTCAGACGCATGATCACAAAAGAAATTAACTTGTACGCCGCAGAATGGATTGAATTTCACAGAGATCAAGTCTTGGCCAGTCCATTGACGACAAACCTCACCACTCTGTTCTTGCCTGGAGATGAGGAAGCTGGACTCGCGACCTTGTCAATGGGCGAAAATCACATTCTGAGATGTGCCTTAGAAAGAGAACGTAATAGACTGTTGGAGGCAACTCGACCACCACCACAATCTTTGCATCCTATTCAAGAAGCCCAGCAATTGAAAACATTTCCTCCTTTCCTGTCTCAGACTCCAATCGGCCCTCCTCCACCGCCATATATACCTGGTAGGTTCAACATAACTTTCATGCAGTCACCAGAAGATGAAAACTAACAGTTCAACCAGTCTTCCCTGTTGGTCAAGTTGGGCCTGTCCAATCATACAGCAGCTTCATGCAAAATCAACGTTACATAGCCAGCAACCATTCTACGCCGAATTCCATGCGCCACGAGGACTGGGCCATGCAAGGCCACAACAGACGCCGCAATATGTCGAACGATTCTTCCAATACCAACAACCATTCCATGAAGAACGGACGTTTTGGCTACGGAAATGCTGGGTATAATGGTAAACGCGCTCTCTCAAGCACATCAGGTGGAAGTCCACACAAAAAACACAATGATGAACGTGAGCCGATCTATGTTCGCACTGGACAATCGAGTAGACCAGAGTCCACTCCCAACCGTAACATCTCTGCTCCAGCAAATCCTCGATTTCCTCACAATTTTAATGACGCGAGACTCGATCCCGCAAACCGCCGTCGCCATGAACCCGTCTACGACCCAATTTCAGCTCTGTTCAAGAATGATCCTAAAGCCCGCATTGATTGGAGAAACCATTGTACTTACAGCTACAGCGATAATTATTCATCATACGCTGAGAACAACAACCGAACAGTTTATGTTGAAAACGTTCCCAAGGAATTCTTTGTCTCACATGGGTTGGCGGGACTGATGTCGGAGGCAGGAGAAGTCAACAGAATCTACTATGCAAACGATGGTCGACATCCCCATGCTGCAGCATTTGTCACGTAAGTTTCTACCGTGGTTCCATCTCAGAAGAATGCTAAATTGATTCTAGCTTTGAGCATGTAGGCACAGTCGACTTTGCTATTGAAAAGTTTGGCCAAATTCGAATACCAACAGGAGATACCATCCGTGTTCAGAAACCAAGAGATAAAGTGTACAGACATCCCAGAGATCGTTCCAATAGCCAAATCAGCAACAAAAGCTTTGGACCTGATTATAACTCTCGTTATGGCGGAGATCAATTTCGTCGTCATCCGCAGAGAAATAACTCAAACTCATCTAACCAGTTTTATCGACAGGATGGCCCATCTTCTCGTCCTTTCAATGAAGCAGATACACCTACCCCTAAGCAAGCCAAGGTTGGTGGGCAACAAACACCCTCAGGATCGGAATCTGGGAGTCATCAATCAAAATCGACTGATGACCCTCCTCAGACACCTTTGAATTCCGTCGAGTCAACCCCCAAGGATACAAAATTACGAAATGAGGATAATGTTTCAGCTTCAAGTGAACACAAGGAGAACTCTCCCCCCAAGGTGTATGTTATGTTACATCTGTGGCTGTTTGGATTCTAATCATCTTGTTTAGGGCACAGGACGAAAGTTCCAAAGTTGAGTTTGATAATCAAGGATCCAACTCACCCAAGCCTCAGAAGAAGAAAGGTGACCGAAACTCTAGATCTAACACGTAAGTAAATTACCAAAGCTTTGAGCCTGGCAACCTGTGACACGCTGACTTTCTTTGGTAGTGATGTCACAACTCGCTCTGCAGACCTGGACAATTCCAACAGCTCTCAATCCACTGTCTCATCTCATACCTCCAACCTGGTATCGCCAATGAATCCTGGTGAGAAGAGCGACGAGGTTGGTACCGATGCTGTCCAAGCGACTGCTAATGAGCAAGAAAACGAGGAGCCCCGCCGTCACATTCACAAGAAGTCAACACAAAAATATTCCAAGCAATACGCTTCAACCAAGGCGACCCCTATCTCCACCAACCACACACTCACACAGTCTGATTTATCCGAGTCACCCACAGATACTATTGCCTCAACTGCTACAGATCTCTGTGCAGCGTCTTGTGCTAATTTAGGTGATAATCGCGCTTCAGGAAAACAGCCAGGCATAACTTCTGCAAAATCAGAGGCTTCCCTTCCTGGCATGACTAAATCAGCTGAGCGTCAACCTTCCAAAGAGTTTGGCCAAAAGAGGAATACAAAGAAGTTACATAAGACGAATCGAAGATACAGTGTCAAGGGCGAACAGAAGGAGCAAAAGAAAGACTCCAAAGTTGAAAGTGAGGAAAACCAGAAGGAAGACAAATCCAGAGATAATACTACTTCTGTGTTCAGTCAACCGAAGGGGGCCGCGAATGTTAATGAGAACGACCAACAAACACAGAACCATGCCAAGAAGAATACCCAGGGGGTAGATGGTCAATCAACTGTCAATGAGAATGAGCCTCCTAAGGAGCCATCAAGAGTGCCAAAGAAGGAGAGCGTTGGGACTTTTCAACCACAACCCGACTCCCAAAAGAGTTCTAACGCTAATACCTTCAATGAAAATCGTCAAGGGGGATTGAAGAAGGGAGGTTTCACTCAGCAATATCGTCACGAGAAGAAAGGTAGTAATGCTTCTTCCGCTTGTGGCTCTACACTTTCAATCCGATCTAAACCTTCCGTTGGATTTACTAATGTATCTGGATCTTCCACACCAAAGAAGACGGATTCAAGCAATCTGTTCGAAGACCCTAATCTGTGGCCAGCACTCGGTCCTTCCAGCTCCCCGCAAAGTTCAATTGCAGATGGAAAGCGACCACCACCCTTTCGTCCCGTGGTTCCACGAAAGGCTCCAATTGGAACGGTCGTCCCTGCGGTACCACACAACATCAAGAAGCCGCGCCCACAGTCGTAAGTCGTAAGGACGCACCATTTCCCACTCTTCGGAGGCACCTGGACTGATTGTTTTCTTTAGGGAGGATATTCTTGGGGGACAAGAATATCCATTTGTGAAGCGAAGTAGGCCTGTATGGGCAAAATGGGATTATTGGAATGAGGTGCCTGTGGTCGGAAAGGGGCCGTGGTGACAAAAAGGATCCGGAAAGGTCTGTTTTATCATCTCGCGCTCTTCATTGAGCATGTTTATGATCGGGGATGGCATATTTTACAAGCTTACGATATCACGAAATTCATAGGATGAATTAATGAATGATATGAAATATTAGTCTAGGGGAGATATTATTTGTCGAGAAAAGGACAATCAATTAACAAGATTGTCACCAAAAATCTTGGATTGCCTAGCTGTGAAGATGTGATGTTTCCTTTCTTTTTTCCGCAGAGTGATTTCTTGGGCATTTTAAAGTAGATAGAAAGGTTCTTCGCATATCCTCGCATCGATCGAAGATCTGGACATACAAGCAACCACCTCAAAATACTCAGCTCCGAATAGGCAGGAAAGTAGGAAAAGCCCATCCTTTCAAAGTTACCAACCTAAGTCTTCCAGGACAACCAATTTAGCTGTTTGAAATACTCTTACCTTAATGAGCTATCTTCAATTACTTCATAGCAAGTACAACAATTAGATGATTCCTTTCCATACGCAAGCTGGAGCTCGGTTGGGTTTATTATAGTCCCGGAGATAACGTGTGGCGGGAAGTTAAGGTTAAATCCGAAACCCTTGCCTATTTCGCTCGTCATTAAGCCGTTGACGGCGGGGGGGCTACCGGTAGGTAACCAGCGATCTTCACGACACGCCACTTGCGACGACGACGACGATTTCTCTTCGGTTCCTGAAGAAACGAGATTAAAACTGCTCATCTATACCAAGTCCTCACCCTCCGTCTCTCAACGATTTCTCTGCTCTTCTCGCGAGGCTCGGGTGGTAACCACATGTGAAGCATCCATCCATCCATCCATCCATCCATCCTAGCCTTCCTTACCTAGGTGAGATTACGAATAGGTTCCCGGGATACGGGATACAAACGGATACGCCATACCGGAGAGAAAGCGAGCGTGACAGAGAGGAAAAGAGACAGGATGGAGGAGGGAACGAAATCCACGCTCCTTACTATCCCTCATGAACTCCTGTTCAATGTTCTTACCGGTGTGGGACCCGAGGATCTGGATTCTCTGCGCGCGACGTGTAGGGGGTTGAGGGATTTTGTGGGTGGGAGTGGGGGTGGGGTAGCGGGGGTTTATG